CAATCTTACGTTAGAAAGTACAAGTGTATTATTTTGTAAGACCTAAGAGACATCATTTATAAGATACACATGGTCAAAAACGGGTTAAAATCCCAGATTACAAAACTCGTGATTTAAAATGTTGATGAATATGGTTATTAGTGGAATTATTTTCTGAATTATATGACATACTACTCTAAGCACTTGACATTACCTGAGGAAATGTAAGGAAAATGTAGCAAATGTATGTAATTTATAATCCATATGGGTATAGTTAGCAATAATGCAGGAAATCTTATCAGATAGTTATAGTGCTATAAACAAGCAGTCTTCTATAGAAAATTCGCAACAATAAGTAAACAAACAATATATCATTGGAGTTGATGGATGACTTCTCGCAGCCAGAGATAAAACTGAAAGGTTAATTGGATTAATTGGAAAGGATTAACTGACACATTATTTTTGTTATATGAAGACATGGTCTTGTTTTTGCTTAATTTTTTTAAGTTGTGTATTTTGTATTGATAAATAAGATTTTGTTTCACTTAAGAAATTCTCTATCTAGCACCTAAACTCACAATTTTTCTTTTCTTTTTATTAATATATTAATGATTTAACCAACATTGCTACAATAACTGCAATAGTTCTTTCAAAATTTTTGTCAAGCATACTTAATTCACTATTTATTTAATCAATTTAAATCAAATTATTTTTAATATCCTAATTATTGTTTAAAACAATCTCATTTTCCAAAAAAAATTAAAGCAAACATTTTGTAAGTTAAATTCATTCATAAAGCACATTCATTGAAATAGCTGATATCTTGCTAATAGCACACGATGATCCGTAAATGGAGTAGTTTTTACTTTTCATATGATATCAAAATATAAATATATCACTTTTAGTTCACTTCTGAAAAGTGAATTGACTTAAACTGATGATTTTTACAACTTTTATGAAATGATTAAATTGGTAGCAACCTGTAAGAACTATTCTTATTCCTTCAGTGTTCCAGGAAATGGGAAATGCTGTAATTTCCTGCCCATAAAAATCCAGATAATTTGCAGGTTAAGTCAATTTGAAAGCAGGTTATATAGAAAATTACAGTAATTTGATTGTAACTGATATGTCACAGAACCACAGCAAATACAATTAAGTTAGATATAAGACTAAGGGACAATCCACTCCTGTAAAATGCATTTGCATCATAAAGTGAGGCAAAAGCATCTGTTGTAAATTTATAATTATTATACATAGTTACTTATAATTGTTATTATTTATGAAAACAATATTAAAAAACTGTAAATAATATTAAAAAGTTTTCATCAAAAATAAATAATACTAAGACAAAAGAAGATTAATTTAAAATAATGCATAGCATATTTTAAAACATTAACAAATAATTAAAGTCTTCTGAAAAATAAACATTTCAAAAAATTGGAAAATAGCATATAAAACGTTTTACTTTTTTGAGATTTTGGTTTCTTCTGATAATAGACTCACAAGGGACATGACCCAACACGTACACGCCAATTTTGACAAAACTATAATCATTGAAAGTACTTTCAAAACGACGAATGACGAGACCCATTTTATCGGCAATTGTTGACACTAGTGCTTCAGAATATGTGATAAGTTTGCACATCACCGAAAATACTTTTAAAATGACAAATATTTATTTTATCTGCATTTACAGCATTAACATACTTTAAAAAAAAACAAGGTTTACTTGTTATTAATTTGTAATTTTACTACTGTTCGCAGGTATCCTTGCCACCTACACTCTTAACACTGATATTGAAAAGCAATGTGATCTAGATGTCAAAGATAAACATAATTATGCACTAAAAATTAACACATATAAGATAATTCAACACAGCATTGATAGATACCTCTAGCAATGTTCACAAAGTTGAATTTTGTTTCTCTAGCAAAGACACTAGGTGCCATGAATGTGATGATTTTCACTTTCTAAACTGTGGCAGGTGCAGATAATCTTCATGTAACAATTTTATAGTAGTTATCATTATTGCCAAAATTATGTAGCTTAATCATTTAATTAAATAACTTTCTCAATTTTTTCAAATTTCATCAGTTTTCTATTACATTTCCATTTTTCCATACTAAACATTGACAATTACTAATAAAAAAAAATGGGCATTATGAAACATTTACATAAATGATAAACGATATATGAAACATTTGAATTGCATTATTTTTTTTTAATATAAGAAATCTGATTTCATTTAAACATTTCATGTCAGTCAATGAGATCAACACAGCTTTACATATACAGTTCACTTTACAATGAGTTGTTTTATAATTTATAAAACATCTTCACTAAAAAATATACAAAGGTAAGAAAAGTTTGAAGTCAGATATACAAATATACACTTTATGATTTTCTTTATTATGATGATGTATGTTGAGAGCTACTTTTATTGGCTAATTAATGATATATACAAAAAACATACACCAAGCAACAAAATTGCAATTTCAAAATTTATGATTACAAAAATAATTTAAGTAACACACAAAATTATAAATGATTTTATGAAATAATAAGAATAATTGTTTTAAAAACAGTAAGTGTTTGTTGACACACAAGAATATGCCTGGCACATAAGTAGTGGTTTGAGTAGCACTAATCACAAAATTAATTTTTCAGTTCACAAGTAATAAAAATTTGTCGAGTAAATTAAATTAAGATTACAAATTTGTATTAATGTAAAGTAAAATAAAAACCTTTTCAAAATAATTTCAGTATTATATTATTTCAAATTGTCATGTACTCTAATATCAATCTGCTCACTTCAAGAAAATAATTAATTCCAGTATTAATAATAAAACTTTAACTTCTTATTTCAAATTCTCATGTTATTTGACAAATTTTTTATTTTAAAAATTATTTGTAATCTTAATTTTGTGATTATTGCTACTCAAACCACTACTACTCACATATCATATTGCTTGATTTCATTTATTTTTTGTTATAAATATTATTAGTAATAATACTTAATATTTGTAATGTTAGCATTTTTATTATATATACTGTATATTTATTTATTTATTTATTTAATGATCAGATTTTTTCTTTTAAATATAATTTTGGATCTCTGAAAGCTTAAATGCATCATTTTTTAAAAGATAAATAAGCATATTTTGTGCAAACAATGCCATTTCTGTTCTAGTTAAAGGAAAAACTTTAACACAGAAATTAAAATAAGAATTAAAACAAAAACAGATAGAAAGTTTCAAAGCAAAATGAACAAATGAACTTTCAAATAAGAAAATGATTATTTATAAAATTCACTAAAATATTTTATTGATTTTTCATATTCTTATTAACATACACACACACACATATATATATATATATTTTATCTTTCTGTAAATGGGCAGAATTATGATTTTAATGATCAAAAATTTCTTTTCACTAACTGTTCATAAATTTTTTCATCTTTAATACTAAAATTTATTTTCAATTTTGTCACAGAAACAACCATTAAACTGATGCAATTATTAAATAAAAATTATTCGGTAAATTTTTTATTTCTTACAAAGAAAAAATATCAAAAGTTCATTATGAACAAACAGGTTATTCTTGAAACTGATGCATTTTTCTTGATCTAGTTTTTAATTTAGAAAGTGAACCAGTTCTGAATTTCTTAAAAGAACTAGATACAATCTGTACAATCTAAAAATAAATTTACTCGCAAAAAGAACAAAATATTTCTTCCCTATTCATTGTCACAATAACTATATCCTATTTTACATTTTCAGTTTTTACGCCTCAAATAACTTAACTTTTTTAATTAATAATAAAAAAATTAATAATACTTTCATTTAAACACAGCAAATTATATTTGCAATATTCTTTAAGCAATATAATGAGGAAATCCTTAACCTACTTTTCAAGTCTTTTATTACAAAATAAGTTTAATTTTCATACTATTTTTTCAATAAAATAATTAAACATTAACAAATCATGTATTATTTTATTTTTTATGAAATATAAAATTAATTTTTCTCCTTCAATAAAGAAAACAGAGCTCTAAACTTCCATTTTTATCACTTTTTACAAATTTATTTATAGAAATATTATTACAAAAAATTCATTAGTTGAAATGAAAAATTTTTAAATTTAGGTTAAATAATTAAGAAATATTTTGTTACGTAAAATAATTACCTGATTCATTTACATACTGTCAATTCCAAGAATATTGTTATGTTAAATATTTAATAAAACAAATAAAATTGTATCCAGCAATTATAAAATTCCAAATTATTTTTTTGTCAAATTACTATGCTGGACATTTTTATAAGTACACCATAAATTGAGCTTAATTACGGAAACTATGTGACTTCCATGTAAAATGTTAAGAACAAAAACAACTATCCAGACTTATTTTTGAAAACTTATTTGTATGATTAGAACATTGTCTCCTTAAAAACTGAACTTTGGGTAATGTAATTCCAAATGAAATACATTTACCTGCATTATTATAACAATAAGCCAATCTGTTGTCCAGAAAGGACATTCACATTCTTTATCCTTCAATTTGAAGTTGTCATCTCAAAAATTATGACCTCAAAAGCCTTCCTAGTAACCAAGAAAAAACCTCACTTTTGGAGGGAAGACTTTATATACTGGATATTTTGATAAAAAAATGAAAATGTCACTTAACATTTATAAAATATTAAAATTAATGTAACATTTCATATTTTAATGTTTAAAATTCATTCATGTTAACATTTTAAAAACTGAATTTCAATTAAAAATGTAAATAATTGAATTAATTTACATCCTTAAACTATTTGTAATTGCTGTAATCATAATAAGGTAAAGCTTAATCTTTGTCTTGCATCAGCTTTAATTATATATAATTACTTAGAGAGAAAAATACCTATGTATGACATCATGAATTTCATGTTCATAAAAATAATGCTTTCTATAGGATTATCTCACAAAAAATGTGTCATTTTTTTTTTCTAATAAAATAGATATAATATATATTTACCTCTTTTTCTGGTTTTTATGCGCTGTCCTGATAGCGTCGGTTTTTCGTTTTTCTGACTCATACAAAAGCAGCTGGAAAAAATTATTATATTTAATACAAATAGTCATTTCAACAATTTTTATACCTTTTCTAAATCTCTGACACTATACAAACTTAAATTTAAATAATTCAGATAAGAAGCATGACATCATCTATTTGCAAATTAGCTTCACATAATGTATAATACAATCAATTAATTGAAATTTTTTAAATAAATAAATAAAAAATCAATTAAGTTGATTGTATCATACATAAAAAATGTAATGTTTCATAAAAAATAAATTAAAAATAATAAACTAAATTTATTTTATATTAAATCATTCTCAATTCACCTCAGTTTTCTTCATTAATATAAAAGTCGTACCAAAAGTAATGATTGCTAATTTTTTACATAAAACTGGGTCTACGGAGAGAAAATGAATATACTAAAAACGTTCTGTAAACATTTCTTTTATTTTTAAAAATATCTCCATCTTCATCAATACTTTTTTGCCTTTGTTTTAGAAGTTGGAAGTTATCTCTGTGATACCACTCTAATCCAACTGTACATAATCAGAAATGTATTATGTGAATAAATAATTCTTTCTGACTCATACAAAAGCAACTGAAAAAAATTATTATATTTAATACAAATAGTCATTTCAACAATTTTTATACCTTTTCTAAATCTCTGACACTATAAAAACTTGTAACTGGTCCTGGTGCAATGCTGGCCTCTCAAACAATTCTTCACAAAACTGAACAAGTGATAATCCAAGGCTACTAGATTGGGACTGTAGGGGAGATGTGGAAGAATTTTTCAACCATTTGTCTTAATCCATTGGATGATGAAACATGCAGTATGAGGTCATGCATTATTATGCAGTAGGACTTTCCTGTCTGGTCTCTTGTTGCGTAGTGCTCTATGAAGTTTTTTCAAAGTCTGCTGGCATCAATCAGTTTTGATTTTTTCTCCATGCTCCAGATAATTCACCATTAGACATTTCCATAATTTTCACACCCATAAGCAAACATTTTGGTTTTTTCCTTTCAGTGAACCTGGGTGATGCCATTCCATGCTCTGTTTTCTGGTTTTGGAATCAATGGCAAAACCAGGATTCATCTCCTTTTACAATAATCAAAATAAAATTTTCACCTTCAGTATCATACTGCTCAAGCAACTGTCTGCACACCTGTGATTGCCTGTGAGCACGTGAGGAACCCAGTGTGCACCCACGCCTTCCAGTATTCCAACTTCGATGTCTCCCGAACTGCACGGTGGCCCAAATCAAGCTGAGTTGCAATTTTTCATATGACAATCTCTCGATTTTTCTTAACAAGCATGTCAAATGTTTCTTCATTCTTAGCAATTCTGGCAGCTTGTGGACAGCCACCACATAATTTATCACCAGTTGTCGGTACTTTCATTTTTAAAGTGTCATGCCCATTTTCTGGCACTGAAGACAGGTATGAATTTCAGATACCAGAATATACTCCTTAACAAGAAATTCATTCATTCATCACATGCTGGTGAAACAATGCACTATAGTTAGCCATTTTTGACAAATCTCCCAGGATCTTTTGAAAAACTAGAGACATCAAACTTAGTTCAAAATTTTGTCAAGTGGGGCTCAAGATGGTATAAAGCAATTTAAAATATTCTTACACATTTCTCAATAATTTGATAACAATTGTGACTTTTGGTACAACCCTTTTTTTTCAGTAACATGTGTTTAATAAGTGTCTATGTATTTTATGATTGCAATATAGATTCTAATAATATTTAATTGCAGTTATCTATGCATATTACATCTTATTATCTATATCATTGTAATAGAACCATAAATTGAAATACATGTTTTACTTATACTTGTGCAATGATAACATTTCATGGATGTTGGTCAACCTATTTAAATATAGTAGTGTGTGAGTCACCCAACAAATTTTTGCATTACAACTTTAGAACGAAAATTCTGTTAAAACATTCTAATGAAAATACTTTATAATGAACCATTTTAAATGGAACCATTAAACTTCATTAATCAAGTTTCCACTGTAATCATTTTTCATATAAATACTACTTTTTAAGATCTGCATAATCAGATGTGTTAGCAGTATAAGTGTATGACTAAATCTGGGCCGTGTTCAGTAATGCACAATTCTTGCTAAGTCTAGTTATGCTGCGATGTTGAACTCGTTTCTAGCTACTGCTTGACTCCTTCCACCACTAGAATTCTAACTAGTTCAATCAGCTTCTTTTATCTATGCTAACTTCTACTAGTGACGTCATTGTTTTTGTTTCATCATATGATTTGCAAGTTGTTTGCTCGTGTTAGACTAAACGTATTTTATTATAACAATCACAAAGTAATTCTCTCATTCTAAAATGATCATACATCAGTATAACAGATTCCGCCAAATACATCTTAATGGAAGATAGAAGCCCATTTTGTTGATTACAATTAACAATTGCTTTATTAATTTTGTCACGATCTGATGCAGCTTCCATTTGAATAATTTATTGGTTATTTCATCCTTTTCAACCAGTTTGTTTGCAACAATTGTTGCAATCATAATTTTAACTTTGTCTATCATTTTGCCTAGTTGTCTAAGAATAATCGTTCAATGATGCTCAGAACATTCTTAGCACCATCCACTAAGCCACTTGGAATTCTAACTTAGGTGTTCTGCATTACTGAACACGACCATGCTTTCTACAAATTGAACTGAAACCATAAAACCACATTTCCATTATTCAATTACAATTAACAGAATTATTTCTATACTAATATAAATAATATTTAAGTATAAATTTTCAATTTTCTGAAAGACACAATATTTTCAAAGTAAATATCATAATGATATACATTAAAGAAATAAAAATGAGATACAAGTAGATAACAATAATGAAAACAAAACTCAATCACAAACAATAAATTCAAACTTAAATTTATAACTTACAAACTTTTCTAAGACCAATCTTATGCGATATATTTAAATTTATAATATCATATTCTATTAAATTTTAAAACTAAATTTAAAAAGTTATAAAGTAAGTTTAAGTGTTCTTTTGTTCAAGTAGAAGCATGACATGTTACATATGCAATTCTTTACAGCTAAAACAATACATAATACTTTTAAAGCAATAATAAATATTTAATTAAAGAAAAACCGGAACGAGACAATTATCCAGGTACTGTATCAAAGTAACAGATCAATTAAAACAAAACTTACTTTTCATTCACTATTGAAGTATATAAGACAAATGTATTTAACTGTATACTCAAAACACCGTACTTAATTATGCACTTCCTGATCAAGACGGATTTTATTATTTCAAAACAACAATTTAGGTTTTAAAGATTAAAAAAAATGATCATTGTAGTGCAATTTCATAAAGATTAGATATGCAAGAGAAATTTGATTTATTGCCAAAAGATAAAATTAAAATTCAAGAGATTCTTATCATTTCCTTTTATCTGGTATTACTTAAGAATGTTTTAAGTTTATACATGATTTCCACCTAATAAAAAAAATTTATGATAATTTCAATGCAAAGAATTTATTGTTGTTAATATTTTTGAGCTTTTTACATTTATCAAATAATCAATAAAATTAGTCAGGAAAAGTTAAATTCATGTTTGTATTAGTAGTATTTAATTATGAACACTTCTGAATACTTACACAAAACTTAATCTAATTCATAACATTTACTGTTATATTTCCTTAAAACAAAAATACAATAATAAAATTAAAATCCTCAAACTTAGGTTATAAAGATCAGAAATTAACTATAAAAAACAAAAGTTTCAAGCATTAAACAGTTAATATCAGAACATTAATATTTAATCTTATGACATTAGTTTCAATAAAATTAAAATCCTCAAACTTAAAATGTTAATAAAACACACCTAAAATTACAACAATAGTTTTTAAAAATAAGTAGACAAGTATTTTTCATCCAAATTGTTTTTGAATTTTATAACAAATTAAAAACACTATTACACCAAGCATTGTATACCATTGATAAGCTAAAATATAATACAATACAATACAAAATAAATTATAATGAATTGCACAGACCAATTTTCTATTTATGGTTCCAGTTGTGAGTGCCATTTTCAATTCTGCTTTCAGCTCTGCATTTTAAAGTACATTTGAGCAAGAATTGAAAAATATGTTGAAAAGAACACATTTGTTAAGAACAGCAAAAATAAAATACTAATAAAAATAAAGAGAACAATGTTGTTATGAAATGTTATAAATAATTTAACAATTTATTACAAAATATTGCATTTTAGTACATCATTGATTTTTGATAAGAAACATTATATAAAAATTAAAAACTACTTAGTAGATTAATCTATACTCATTAATTTTGAATATGTATGTACAGTACTTGCTAAAAAAAATTAAGAGAATTATCTAGAAAATTCCAAAGAGCTCTATCAAGGGTAACTTTTTATAAGTAATTTATTGGCATGGTTGAAAATCATAAGGAGTATGCAGTAGAGCTAATGCTTGTTGCACTATATAGAGCAGTGTTTTTCAACTGCTGGTCTGCAAAAAAATTTCATTGGTCCACAGAAAAACATTTGATCGTACTGATGCTGGTGCAGTTTATTGTGGATGACATTTAAATAATAATCTAGATTTACTGTATGTACTTTGTTACATACAGCAACATGAGATAAGCATATATAAGCCTAATAAATAAGTGTAATTCATAGTTGCATATAATTACTGGTCCAAGTAAAATTATGGATAATTTTACTGGACCACAATGGGAAAAAAATTGAAAAACACTGATCTAGAAGACTCCAAAGTAATCTAGTGGGAAACCTAATAAAGATATCTGCCATTGCCTAGACCAGGGTTTCTTAAACTATGGGTCACGACCCCATTTGGGATCACTTAGCGAAATCTTGGGGACACAAGATTTTAATGCAAAATATTGAAAATAATTTGTGAGAGTTTGAAAATGGCACGCTTTGTGCCATAGGTTTCGTAAGTTGTGCTTTGTGTCACTTCTGGTGCAGCGAGACAACGATTC